GTAACATAGGTAGGTGGAAAGAGAGGTTGATTACGGAATCCTTGTTCATTGAGTCTACAACCAACACATGCAACAGAAATGACTAAATGCAAATACCAGAGGTGTGTATGGAAGATATTATTACCGCCAGTCAAATCAGAAGAGGATAATAAATAATGTTAAAATTCTATTTCAATTCAATTCACGTACATTATAACATTCTGACGAGTTATTTATTTATTTATTTATTTCACTATAAACACATCTTATTTCCCATCTGATTGTATTTGATTGATACCAAAAATATTATTTGCGAATGTACTTTAACTTATATTGATTTGATTCAAATGTGTCTAATCATCAATTTTTACTCATGTATATACATGAAGCAAGAAATTTGTGTGAGTGAGTACTTTGATGTGATTATGAGCAGTAATAATTTGTGCTCAAAACGTGATCATCAGTTAATATTACTGTATAACACTGTGTGATTTATCAAAATAAAATCTTATCTATAATGCAGTTATACTCTATCACAGTGCCCAAGTTTTATCCTTATATCAGTAAATTGAATAAGCAGTTGCTGTAAGGCTGAAAAATAAATGAGAACAACAACTTAGAATAACTATCACCGACTTATTTTAGATAAAATCAGACACTATTTGACATAATAGACTAAAAACTGCGCCTTTTTTAATTCAAATAAAGAATTTGTAGATTAGTTAGCAATTTCCACAGAACACAGTTCGAGGAATTGAGATTTTCAACACAGTTTCCCCTGGAAACCAAAATTATTCAGAGCACAAAATATGCGACCCGGTTGATACCATGCATGGTGACCAAGAAGAAAACAAGCAAATTTGTCTGAAATTACATACTACTGATTGGCTGAGATGAGTAGTTTAATAGCATCCACACCAGACAGTAGTGCTTGTCAGCTAGTCATTTGATGTCAAGCTTATCATCACCTCAAGTAGCTAGCCAGGGAGACAGAATGCTTTGGACGGATTCTCCTCTCTGGTACACACCTCTGATAAGCTCGGTCTCAAGTGAGCGAAACTGCTGTCTGGTAATGAGATTACACCAATCCGGCTATCATGCACTTCTTAATTTATCACTCAGCATTACCCTGCTATAAAGCAGTTAGTCACTTTGATAAATTATAAGACGGTGTTTGCTTGAAAAATGTGGAGGAATTTAAATGCCTAATATTAATGTGCACAACGGATGTACAATTTCAATTTGACAATACCCTCTATCACCAAATAGATGGTACAAATATGCACAGTTCACTAAGCCACGTACTACAAGACTACTACTACTACTACTACAATATCCTCATATCTAATCTTCAATTAACAAAGGTCAAAGGTGAGATCGATGAGACAACTTCGCATTGTCGATATGTTGACGATGCCCTCATATTATATGAAAGTGAAAATCATGCGTGTAATCCACTTCAACTGTTCAGTGACGCACATGAGATTATTGACTTCATAATGGCACATGGAATTGATGGAAACTTCCATTTCCTCGATATTGTCGTGCAAAACTGAAAATCTACGCGGAGTGGACTATATTTCAATCTAAATAGATTTTGTCCAATTGACTTGAAAAAACGAGTATTGGTCAAAACTCTGTTTTACAGAGACAGAATGATTTTTGTATGCTCCACATGAATACTGGAAGGTGAACTCGTGAACACTGAGAAGGTTTTGAAGAATGATGATTATCGGCCGAAATTCATCAAAATGTGTGAAATATCTGACAATCTCGAGTGGAGGAAGAGAAGGATGAGGATAAAGAAATCACAGTGAATAAGAAGCCTGTCTTCATACAACTCCATCTGACAGATGATAATAATGGAGGAGTAATCAACAGAAGATTGAAAATGTCCCTAACCAGAACCCATTATGCTGTAGCCAGATTGGTTCTCGTTTATCGAACGATGAATTCTGGCACAATCAAAGCTTGACAGATACCCTCTACATGTTGACTCTAATTGTGTATACAAATTGACGTGTATCTGTGGGAACAGTTACATTGGGAAAGAGAGAGAGAGGGAAGTGGAAATAACTCCGATTCTCTGAACATGTATCAACTGGTTCACGTCTCAAGCGGAGAAATTCTTTGAACGGTGCAATTGGAAGCCGTCAGTGTTGTTCATGCTGGTAAAGAGGTGGACATTGTGAAATGCTTCAAGATCACTAATATACAATATAACTCTCCTCTCCTCAAATTTGTTGAAGCAATCTCTCTCAAGAGTCTAAATCCTGAGTTATATGTTGAGGAAGACTGACTTATCAGTCTTTGCTTGCCTTGTTGACCCGGCGTTTAGTGTCTCCATCTCAGTTGACTGAATAATCTTCCGCTTCCACTCCCTCTCCACACATGTATTCGCTTTTGTGGTTGAGTTCAGTTCTACTTTGTTTTCCATGACTTATGTTAAACTCGCCACACTATTACTCATCATCAACTGCTCTCTTCTCAGCTTGTTTTGATTACACAATTCAATTTTCAATGCGTATGCGACCAGTGATTTTGCATGTTTGTATTTTGTTGGAGGCTTGATCTCCTTCATGAGTTGTATGAATGGAACTTTTGAAGATTGCTGATCAACTTATATGCCTCTGTTAATGGAGATCATGTTAAACGTTGGAAGTGTTACAGAATTCTATCTACATCTACACAATTAATTGGTTTGTAAACAGCTGAATGGAATTCGACTACGATATAAGTGATGGCCTAGTATTATTCTGCTTTGTTTATGTATTTTGAACCGATCAGTCGATCAATTGCACCTACGTTTTTGGAACACGGGCTTATCAAGTAAAAAGTCGATTTGCTCACCTAGAAATTTGAAGGTCGTGTGTTGGATTGCCAATATGGCCATGAGTTCATATTAGTGTCCAAAATTTAAATAACTAACTGTTTTTCAATGGTTTTATAACAAATAGCGATTCGTGATCAAACTGAAAACCTATTAAATACCAACACTTAAACAGCTGATAACTAGCTTTGTTTGTGGTTGAGTGACAAAATGTACACTAACCAGACCAACAGAAATATAGTAGAAAGCAAATATTGTTTTTTAGATGGTTAAAACGTTTATGATTACTCTTAAACCCTGCAAAACTGAGTAGATATCGCTAGTGAAACCACTTAGGGTGAAATGATGCCCAAGAAGAAATATATTTCAGTTTCGATCACGAACTAAATTCACTTAGAGAACCACTGCAAACCAGAGAGTCCTGAATAGCTCTTTCGTCATAGTTTCGGGACTCACCGATAGCACTCACCCACTGCCAGGTTCGAACCCAGGACCTTCCGGGTTACATGGCGAGCCCGTAGACGATTCAGTCACTGTGGACCGCTCAAAGCCGCATGAATTCCCACTTCTTCCTATTCATGACTCCGGCTGTACCACCAGCCAATATCAAGGGCGAGTGTCTGTCCTCAATCCCGACCATGTGGACCCCACTTTTCATGATTTCTTACTAAAACTCTCTCCATACAACTTCATCCTGTAGCCAGTCGTCACTAACGAGCATCAAATTAATTTTTAAGAGTTACTTTGCAAGGATTTGATTTGTTTCAAATTTTATTACGGATTCATGTCAGTTAGAGAACTACTGAAAACCAGACGGGGGGTACTGGACAGACCCTTCAGGTTACAAGGCAAGATCTCATGCCATTCAGTCACTTGTGGGGGAATCCAGTGGCCCAAAAGTTCTAACTTCCGTACGAAATATCTGTCCAGTACTCCCTATGTTACTATAGTTTTCTAATTGAAATCAGACTGATCCAGAGTGAACACTCGGAAAGACATATATTGTTAAAAAGAAGCTATTTTCATGTTATGTGTACAGACATGATCTGATGAACAGTTTAAAGATGTTGATAAAAGTCTTCAGTACCCTATTGGAAATGCTGCTCATGACGGGGCAGCTACCTTTCTGAACCATATCTAAGAGCTGACGGACTTAGCATTGGTGTTGAAAATTGCAGTCTTGTTCTTTATGTTGAGTTCAGTCGATTTCCAAACTGATTTCAGTGGAATGAAGATTCGTGTTGGCTTTCCGTTCTCATTTGGTCTTGATGTCCTCATTCATATCGACTGCCTGAAATTTAGGCTATGTGGTGAAAGAAGTGACCTCTTTAAAATTCCCCCCCCCCGTTGATAATGATTGGTGCTTGTTGTTGTTGTTGGGCGGTCATCTTCATTAACTTAGCCTCCAACAAATTCCCTTGAAATCCCGTCTACACCATCAGCCTCCTCTGACAACTGGGTTAGCTTTCACCTGTAAGTCCTCGAGTTTATGCAACATCCATGAAGTCCAAATCTTCTTCAGTCTTTTCATTTGTTCAGAGTATTTCTTCATCTTCTGTTTCGCCACCCACCTGTCCGTAGACAGCTGTCCCTTTTCCTGCCTCATCTTTTTTCCAAAAATGACTGTACACGTTTTCTTAAAAATCACTTTCATAAAGTTCCAGTGTTCTTCCACATAGGTTTCCTCAGTGATGCTACGTAATCTCCCCGACTCTGAGCTGATTGTTGCAGTGACGGTGTCTTTTTTAGTTTCATCTTTCAGCTTTTGAGCGTTGAGCTTCAATTGTGGTCTACATCTGGCCAAATGTAAAAGCTTTCAGCTTGACCTTGAAGGTTTACTGCAGCGGATAATGTCCAGAGTTGACATCCATTCTCCTTTTTGACTTTGTGTCCAGCAGACTGCGTCTCCACTAATATTAATATATAGAGACCAAGTTTATTCTAATGGAGGGAAAACCAATGTTTATCGATTTAATTACTGAGCATTTTTGTTCATATATATATATCGTCATTAGTTGTTTCATTCATTGGACAAGATTTAATGCAGCATTCATCGAAGGGTATTCATTCACTTCCTTTTCTTTTGTACTACGTTTTCAACCAGCATTTTTGCAATATGCATTTGTTAGAATTTAATTCTAAAAGGCTATTCTCTAAATGTTTATTTTTTGTTCTGGAAAATTAATTTCAGTTGTACCCGGAAGCTGTGAACTAGTATCGGCTGGGAAACGATATTATTCATTCGAATTTGAAATACCAGAGAGTTGTCCGTGTTCATTCGTCGGATCACGTGGTAGTATTGAATACAGACTGAGAGCTTATTTATTATTGTCGAGTGGTGATCAACTATGCATTGACAAAGGATTAAAGGTTATACGTAAAATGAATATCAATAAAATGATGGTGAGTTCTAATTAATATCAATAATAATAACAATAATAATAATGCATTTCTTCTGTCTTGCTGACAACACACCACAACTACAGGGAATGAATACATTCACCGATATGTCACGTATAGTTTAGTTCAGCATTTCATAAATTTCCTGCCACTGAGTTTCATTTCTTACTATCGCCTCATTTCATTTTGTGTGAGCAGAGAAAAGACATACACTGGTGTAGAATAACATGGATCCATTGTACGTCGTTGGTTCTCATCAGCTGCGTACAACCTATAATCTGTAATAAATAAAAGTTAGTGTACAATTTCAACAAACTTCGGTCTATCAACAGGTATACTGTAAGAGCGTCTTAGTGAAATAAGGCATCAGGATGCTAAGGCACCTGAAGTATTACAGTAGATATGTATATATGTATATCTTGTCAGGGAGAAGTTTCTCGGATAAGAGAAGATCAAAGCTTGGTGTGCAAGAGGTCAGATGAAAAAACGATGATGTAATATAGTGAGAAGAACTCATAAGGCTAAGAAAAATTATCTCCCATAGAAGTCTCATAGGAAAAAAATGGGTGACTCAAAAGACAAGTTGGTAAAATTAGAAAACGAAGAGTTACTGAGGGATGAGTCTGCAGGATAACTGAAGTCCAACGACAAATTTCTTATGGACATATAGGTCGGGTTTCAACAGTTTCTTTGACTTAGTCTCAGCCTCTGTTAATTTTTCTGAATAGTCCCACAGCGTCTATTTGGTGTCCTGTGTCTATCAGGTGTTCGGTGATTGAAGAGCTTAAACTATTTGGCCCCTTTTAGCCGGAAGCTCCTTGATACAAGTTCGAAGATGGATAATACATTCCAGACTATAGAAATAATATCTTGGTTGGCAGTAAGCACGACTCCTAAGCGAAGGTTTTTTCTGGTCAACATAACTAAGTTCAATACCCCTTATAAAGCTGCAGTAAATTTGAGTGCGTGACAGTCATGGTAGCTTAAATATTAAATCAACAGTCGTACTGACCACTACTCAGTGAACAATAAGTACAAATGATAAGGTATTATTTGTACAAGCTACTATGAAATCATATTTCACCAATAATCACCGATTTTTAATTCAGTTCTTCTGTATGTTTGAAAAACTTGGCGTAAGTGTCACGAAAAGTATTTCAAACAGCCAAATGCGGACTCTTGTCAACAGCTGCTCCGTTCGGGGGCTACCTACTGCCGTTCAGACAACCGGTTGAAAGACTTAATTGAATTTTAGATTTTCCCGTCGACTGATTGGACCGAAGTGCTCGGTCTCAGGTTGACATGTCGACTTCTTGAGCAGATGCTTCGACGATGTCTGGGCATTTAACTAGTATTTAATTGGTGGATGGTCACTAGCAGTGAAATCGAGAATGCACGTTTCGTCCTATTTGGGACTCGTCACCAGATATACCTGCATTTCTCAGTGAGGGCTCTCGTCGCCCATGGACATGGTCCGGCGTTCGATCCCCTGCCAACGCACACCTGATATTAATGGTTGGCCTGAAAAATTTGAGCTACCGATATCACATGCTGAAAATTCCATACTTGCAACAAAAGTAAGGTGTGAAATCAAGCTATAATCAAAATAAAATGAAAATAAATCCAGACCACTGGAATTATGAGTATCATCGTCCATAGTAAACAGACTTACATGACACCTGTCTACACTTGAAAGCCTTCAATGAATTTTCCCTTGAGGATCACTTGACATGCGGCATCACTGTCATATAGCTGCTGAATCAAGTTGACAAAGATTTGGTGTACTAAACGCTGTTGTGTTGAAGTACTTTTAAATCATGTCACGACCACCGTTGTCGTTAGATTTTTCAGAATCAATGAAGTTGAGGTAAAAATTATTAAGATTATTACAGTGGCAGCCAAACCTTTTTATCATTTTTTAAAACAACATACTTTAATCTCTTGTAGTTAATGTTCTCTAATTTTATTCAACTTTTGCAATTAGTAGTGTTCTCTGAGCTGGCTGACTTAATTGAAAATCTTTCGTCATCCTTCTAAGTAACATCTTCAGCGCCAGTTTTTCCATAAAGCGAAGATGTTATTTGGAAGGACGACGAAAGCTTTGCAATTAAGTCAACCAGCTCAGAGAGCACAACTTAGTGCAAATCATCCACCTGAGCCACAAATCTTCTCTTTTATTTTATTCAACTTTCAGATAGCACCAGGAACATTAGCCTGCCCACCAATAAGCAGGAACTATATCAGCAGTTTTGATCAGTTCACCTCGACAGGAAATACTGTGAAATTTTCAAATCTATCAAGGTCGCAGTCAAAGCTATTCAATTTATCTAAAAAGGATGCTGAAAATATTCTAGATGAATATGATAATGGTGATCAACAGTTAACTGAAAAGTGTTCAATGCTAACATCAACTTATACAAGTGACTACATCACAGATCATTTATCCTCATCATACGGACCAAGCGCCTATTCCAATGCCGATCTGAATGATACAAGTAAACTGATGAAGCACTCCATAGGATCTTGTTTAAATGAACCAAAAGAAAACAACAATCCCTGCCTTGCATCGGTGTTTTCACCTCAAGATGATAATCAGTACACGATAACAGAAAGAAGAGATAATTGTAGTTTAAAGACGGGGAGTAGATTTTCGGCTAATCTTACTTCAAAGACTAAAAAGTCTATGCTGAGTTCATCGCATAAGACAACATTAACTGTGCAAAGATGCAGTGACAACCCGTACCCATTGCCTTCTTCCTGGCTATCTCATCCCTACGGTTTAGGCTATGGAAGTTATCCGCGTACATGCCTTGGTGCACAGACAGGCTATCCAATATCCTGTAGATTAACTGTCAGTCAACGACAATTGAATCCAGGCAGCCGGTTAACAGCCTGCCTAACTTTACTTGTAGAAGATCCTTTTGCACTTTTGTTGGCTCCATCTTTAAACAGCAACTCGCATGATTTGAATTGGTGTGCTAAATTCAACGCGAATACTAAATCAGGAACTAAAGGCTTATGGAGTCCACTGGCGAGAGCATTTGTTTCCTATTATTTAGAAGATAGTGTTAGACAGAATTTTGGTTATGCAAAAAAGGAACTTAACAGAATATGGTGGTCAAGATTTATTAAACAACCGCAAAGGATATTTCTTATTCTCCGACAGGTATGTATAACTAAAGTTGTGCTTTTAATTTTATTGTACTTCATTTGCATATTTAACAATCTATTCAGCATAAAATTATGTTTCTGAAAGAAAAACGTAGTATAACCTTTTGGTGCTATGTACTACTGAGTAAATGATATGAGTAGTTGAACAGCACTAATCCCAACCAATAGTGCTTGACAGCTAGATCGAAGGCTTCTAAACACTAGGCGCCCATTTCGTCCGTTTGGAACCTAGATGGTAAGCAGTGTACCAGGTTTGACTCATCTCAGGTGTCGGTTTGCAGGGATTTGATTGGTCACGCGATCTCCCGATGAGCTGATATCGGTCAGAGAACCACTAAAAAACCTGCTGGGAGTACTGAATAGCTATTTCTTCCTAGTTTGAGATTCTTCATCAGTACGCACACACAGCGGTTCAAACTCATGACCTCCAGGTTACAACGCGAGCAAGCTCGTAGACCATTAATCCACTGGGACCTCAGCCAATGGCCAGCGCATGAATTCCAATTTTTTCCAATTCACGACAGCGTGATTACCATCCAGTGTCATCCGTGGCGAGTATTTGTCCTCACCACAGTGGTCGTGGCTTTTCACTAGAGCCTAAGTAACTACCTACCTGAATCTGGCCAGTCACTAGTGAACACTAGATTGATTTTCGAGTGTTGGTTTGTGGGGATATGATTGGTTTACTTTCTTTAGCAGTATAATCGCATTTATACACAACATTTTTTATTAAACAGAGTTTTAATAAAAGAGATCAGATGTCATAAATATAATTTTTGGTATTACTCAATGCATGAAAGGACCTGAACAAGTGTAAGAGGGTTACGCAACAAGATAAATAATTTAATGAACGAATGAGTCGTAATCAGGATGCACAAAGAAACGAAGGAAAACGTGGAATTATTTAAGAGTTCCAAAGAAATACAAAAGTCATAAGGAGTTAGTAAGACAAACTAACAAAAATTCAGTCAGTGGAAATCAACAAAGTTGTTATCAGGTTAGTAAAATTGGATGAGTAATTCTTTTTTGTGTGGATAGCCCCGAGACGCCTATGTAAATGGCCGTAGACCCATCTATGAAAAGGAGACGAAGGCATATTGCCTTTGTCAGGTCATTCTTCACCTTACAGATTACTTTGAAGGAGGAGGTGTTTTTTAACACGAAATGGTCAGTGTTGACAAGGTGTTCGATTATCCTTCTACTTATAGAGCCACTGCTGCCTTTTTGCAACCATGTGGGATAGTATTCTTGAACATTTTTAGATAGGATACGCATCCAACAACCAATTTACTTGCCTCCAGAAGAACAGAAGTGGTCAGATGTGAGATCTTGTCCTTAAAACTTCTGCAGACCAACGGACGACTAGAGGGCATTATTCTTCGTGTTGCTAAGGTGTATGTCCTACTCAAAGATGCTAAAATTCTTCTCTTAAGGATATTTTTGGTTAATTCTGCAGGTTCATATAAAGTCTCTTTCTTGGAACAAGTAGTGTTTCGTTTCTTTGAGCTTTTGATTTGATATTGTTGTAAATGGATCTCGGTGGGTATCCATTTTGGATGGAGATTTCTATCAGAAGATCTAATTCGTTTTCTACAGTGTCTTAACTACAGATGTGTGGGATACGAGTAGCAAGGGATGTGTTCAACAGGCACACAACTGTAGAAACTCGTTAGCTGAACATTACAAGTGGGTTTCACATAGACTGCAATACTTAGGGTTTCGCTGTGCCCTCTTGCTAGATCCGCATCAAAAAAGGGAACCTTGGATTCGTTTTACAATTAAGAAGTGAATTATGTTGCTGGATACCAGGTGTTGAATATCTGCAGCAATCCAGGATTCGATAAGTTTATTTTAAATATAACACAGCGATGCAGTATTAATAACTGGATCAGTTTGAGATTGATATGATTATGGGCAATAATTTATGCTCAAAACGTCGTCCAGTTGTTAATACTCCATTTAAAATAAACTTATCTAATTTGAAATTCTACCACCGTGCCGGAGTTCTTCACTTACATTAATTAATGAAGCAATCGACCGAGGTCATAGCTATTTTTGCAAATTATGTAAATGTCATCCACGTTGCCTGTACACAGTTGCGAATTATCTACATTCGACTCTGAAGGACCGTTTTTGATACTTGCTATGCAAGTCAAGGGAGATATTCTTGCAGTAATATCCTTCTGTCTGTAGATGGTGTCATTGTAGGCATATTGTACTTTAACAGTACACCTTAGCAAAATCTCTTTCAAATACCTTGTGATCTACAAGTCAAAGAATAACCTGCCAAAGGTGATACGCTTTCATCTTCTGTGCATCTCACTGAAGCTTTAGCCATTCATATACAGAAAAACCAGAGTAATGCATACTAAGGCAAATGATTGAGAACCATTTCTACGATCATGGTGACACCCTTGTGATGGGATACGCTGTGACCGGTAAAGTTGAACGACCTTATGATTGTATTCACTCGTTGAGAAATGTTATATCAATGCAAATTAAGCTTCCATTTTAGTTTTATGCACCTGAGAAATACAAAATACCTAAGGAAATTTCCTCTGGAAGGCAGTATGAACTGTCAAACAGAAAATAATGCCTTTGAGGAATAGGCAAAACTTTGGTACTTAAATTTGTTTCCCATAAGAATATGAAGAGTTTAATAATCTTTGGATTGGTAACTGAACAGTAAAAGCTTAGCAGAACAATTTACCATTACAACTGTTATTTTGGTTGTAGTGTGCATGAATGGGTTATTTGTCTGACTGTCAGTAGAAATCTGGCACTAGTGCAAACATATTGAAGAATACTAAATTATATTTGCTGGTAAATATAGTCAGTCATTTACCAAAAGATTTTTGTGTATAAGATTCATTTTCGTGCTAACGTGTGCTTCTCAAGAGTGAATTGAATACATGAGACACGGCTGGATTAGAACCACTGGACTACGGATCGCTGGCTGATCTGAACGACTTAGCTTCACAACGGATTGACAATCCAAAGTAATCATTGCGGTTTATTCCCATGCAGCTGTCCGTTTTACATTATCACACTGGCTTCATAGCTTCATCTGCTTTTGTCATCTTTAGTTATACCAAAATAGGTGGAAAGTAGGTTGTTAATTGTTGGCGAGACTAAATGGCATAATTTTGACATGTTACAGAGTGATAGTAAAGCTGGTGGTCACGCTAAAATTACGAATTAGTAGAATGTGGAATTCATGGACAGTTGAGTCGGGTCCCAGTGGCTGAATGATCTGCGAGCTTACCTTATAGCCGGTAAGTCCAGGGTTCGAAACCCGGTGGGTGCGTACTGTTGGAGAGTCCCAAACAGGAATTGAAAGAGTATACTCTGTTTTGCCAATCAGTCTTCAGTTGGTGTCATCACGTGACCAAACCTGTAACTTATCAAATCCCTTGAAGCCAAGACTTCAGAAATAACAGAGTTCATGAATTTTTACTTATTGAGAGTGAATGGTAGTTGACTTCATTCACTTAAGTAGCTAGATGAAAAGTAACATCATATGAAGAGGTTGAGCTCGTTTTTTTCCTCACACATTAGCAAAATCACTCATTCGGACGTAATTTTTACAATCTGAACTTCTTGTTTTTCAGATTACTACCTACAGAGACTGGACAAACTGTGTTATTGCTCAGGAAGAACGTGATGTCTACAGAGGAGAGATGAGAAAGCGGTTAACATCTGAAAAACACTTATTAAGAGTTGTTCTAGAGCATACCTTTCATATACCACCATTACCACCGACCAGTTTAGAAGGTTGTTCATGTATTGACGTCGCGTACAGTCTTGGATTGGTTAATTTCAAGTTGAAAAAGCTGAAAACTCCACTGAAATCAACGAAGTGGATATTGGAAAATGATGTCAACCAGGTTATGCCGGATAAATGCGTAGAATTTATCTATATGCATGAAACCTTCAACAGAGGTGTTGGCACCTACGAGACACTGTCGAAAAAGCCTCGTATTCTGCGATTTCAACAATGCCAGTGTAATAAAGGGAAAGAATTCAAACACTTGGCTCGTATTCACCATGATCTTTTATTGCCTATCCCTATAATCATTGGTACTATGGATTTCAATCCGAAATGTGATCGACAAATAGAGTCGTATGGTGTATCGGAGACACAACAAACTCCAAGTAAGTTGTTCGCATTTACGTCACTTATCCTACAGACGTTGTTAGCCCATTGTTAATAATAATCAATTATGAGTAAACTAATATTTAAAATTTTGTTATGAAATGTTGCTTTCTCGCGTAATCTGAAGATATTCTTTTTCAGGATGATAATTAAATTATTATTGTTCCCTTTAGTTCCTAGAGGAACATAGGGCTTCAACCGCACACCTCCATTGCGTTCGGTTCTCTGTCAACGTTTTCACCTGGCTGCACATTTGCCCACATGCCCCCATCTCTTCCTCTATGTCACCCTCGCACTGACAACCGACTCGCCGCCTTCCATTCGGATTCCACTCGAGCGATGGCCTGGGACGTCATAATACTTCATGGTTTCCTCAGCTTACGGCCAATCCACCTCCTTCTTGACGCGCCAAGTCTCTAATCCGTATAGTGGCACTGACTTCACATTGGAGTTGAAAATCCTGATCTTATTTCTCATGCTGAAAACTGTTGATCTCCACACAGACTTGACGGTAATGAAAGCTTAGTTTGCTTTCTCGATCCTCGCTTTGAAATCCTAATCAGTCCCATCCACCTGTAGTTGAAACGATGATTCCCAGGTGGGTAGGTAGGTGAAGGAGGTTGCTTCTTTCAGGTTTCTCTCATTTATGCTGGCTGATTTTTGTCTGTTGTTGTTGCTGTTTCTGTTGGCCAGGAATCTCCATCACCTCTGTTTTCTCAATGTTCACCCGAAGGAAGTGCAATCTTCTCTGGATGCTTCTTCTGCCAACTTGTTGCTTTTCACTTGCACATCTTCCAGTTTGTGAGAAATCACACATATGTCTTCGGTGTAGTCCAGATCCTCCAAGTCATTTATGTGGGTCCATTTTATGCTTGTTTCTTCGCTGCCCTCTGTCTGTCATATTATCCAGTCTACCGCAATCAGGAAATTCATTGGAGATAGTAGGCAGCCAGCTTGTCTTACTCCCCACTTCACTTCGAAGGATTCCATGAGTTTCCCGTTGTAGATTACTTGGCATGCAGCACTGTCGTACAACTGTGTATAACTGTTGGCAGCACCCCGTATTAACGATAAACTAAACCTTTATTTTATTCCCTTGCGTTCCCAGTTGAACAAAGGGCTACAAGCTGAAAGTTTTGAATTTTCAGTAGCAGTGGTGGTAGCTTTTTCCACGGAATGCGGTTACTAACCTCACGTCTACCCAACCTTCCCTCTTTACAGGATTGACTGCCGGCTAAGGGAGGTTCAGGAGCGCGTTGGTCGGGGATCAACCCCCAACCTTTGTGATTTTTTGGCGAGTATTCTACAGCTTAGTCACCGATGCGAATAAAGCCACGAACGAAGAGTCTTTTGTTGAGGCAGTTATTTCAGCTACATTTCTCTTAGATCTGAATTGAAACTGATATGAGCGGTGGAAAATACTATCAAGTTTCTGTCTTATACCCACTGACATCAAAACTCCACTTTTTGTGTACTATTAGTTTGAGGATAAGATAAAATCTTACGGGGTTTGTACACTTTACTCCTTTTTGTGACTAGTTTACTTATTCTGAATTCTTCACATTGTAGGTTTTAATCCTGAAACACAATTCATGGATGTCTATTGGATCCCTTTAGTCTAGAATATATTCATTACCTTCTTCTTAAAACGGGAATAGGTTTCAGCGGGTATTTTAAACTACTTCACAATTCGAATAAAATACTTCTTGTAATTATTTTTCTCAACCGGACTTATTTGTTTTGTGATTAGTGCTAGCCAGTAATGGGATCCAAGGTGTGTTTCATCCTCTTAATCTACAGTCACCTGGATCTTAGAGAGTGGTGTTGCTTCGGAGCTAGCCGAAGCCACCCATTAGTCTATTGAACCATGAACGTCACCTTGTGCTTATCGAAACTTCGTATCGTCTCAATTTCGCATATCATCTCTTGGTAAGAATGGAAACTTCAGTGATACACTGATGTCAGCTTGCTGTTACTTGACATAAATTTGCCTTACATTTCTGAATTTCATTGCAATCAATTGCAGGTGGACAAAAGTATTCATATTTCGTCAAGACCCATCTTCCACCAAAAAATAGTTTACTATGACTTACGAATAGTGATTACGAAATATATATTTATTATTATTGTTCCTTTGGGTTCCGAGGGGAACACAGGGCTTCGACATCACATCTCCACTTTGTCCATGGCTTCTGATCTCCTCCATGTCATCCGCAGATTAATTATCAACTCACTGTTTCTCACTGGGGTTACACTCAAAGCCCTGGTGCACTACACCACCCAGTGGTCTCCTCCATCCATCTCCACACTTTCTTTTGCATATTTTGTTGAGCAAAAGGTTCTCGGTTGGTTCGTTCCCCGACTTAATTGTTGCTAGTTCTTTCCACCGACCATCTGACCTTCATTATAGATACAACGAAGAAGACAGTTGATAGAAGTGTGCAGCTGGCTGTTTGAAACGCTTTTCGTGACGGACGCTGCAAGTTTCTTGCCCATACAGTGGTGTTGAAACTCCGTAGTTTGTTTTTCAAGTTGAGTGCAGAATATATTTTCAAACTGATTTCAGAGTGAAGAAAGTGTACCTTGCCTTTCCGATTCTGACTGGCTTTGACTTCTTTATCAGTTTCACCTGTAATTGGAACGATGCTTTCTAGATAGGTGAAGGAAGTAAACTCTTTCAAATTTCTTCGAGTGATAGTGATTGGTGCTGGTTGTTGTTGCTGTTGTTGGTTGGTTATCTTCATCACCTCTGCTGAGCATATTATTTTATTTCAATTCTGATTACGCATCGATATCACCTAAAGAACTATTGGAAACTAACAGGGAGTACTGGACAGCTGTTTCTATCATTCTACTATGCGACTCTTCGGCAGCGCACTCCCATTGCCCCACCTGAGAATCGAGCTCAGGGACTTCAGGTTATGAGACTAAGCCAATTGAACCAGAATGTAATGGCCAATGAGTTCAAACTTATTTCATTTAGTGATTTCAGCTGGCCAACAGGCCGATTTCATAAAATCGAAGGTCATTTAATAAATGGTATTTTTATGAGTTACGTGTATATGGTGGTAACAATCTCCCGCCTTTATCGTTGTAATATGATACATTTTGTTGAAAAAATAATCTGGCAGTGTTAATTCTATTGTTGACATTTATTCACGTAAAGTATTCAACCTGAAATTGGATATCATTAAACTTGTTATTAAGTGAGAGATTACATACACACAGATACGCACACGCACATCACACACACTCAGTATCAGTAGTAGTGTTAGGCGGGCTATGATATTTAATCTTGTAGCACTGATTACACTGATAGCTGAGAGCATTAATTCATGTTCAAATTTATTTTCAGCCTAACAAATTTTTGAGAGAAAAGCACCAGTAGCTTAGGAATGATTCATCTTCTCAAGGATATTTCATCCCCGAAAGCACAGCTGTACAACCGCACTCATATACGTAGGTTTACACGTGCTTACAATTATTATTTAATCCCTTACAAATAGCAAAGCGGGGGGGATTAAAGGTGTCAATAACTGGCAGAAGTTGGAATTTATGGTCTGGCCGTTGGCTTATTGGTCTACGAGCTTGCTCGCCTTGTAACTAGAATCTCGAACCCCTGTGGTGGGTGCGCGCTGGTGAAGAATCCCAAACTAGGACAAAACAGCTGTCTGGCAGTACTCTTAGCTGGTTTTCCAATGATTCTCTAACCGATGTCAGCTCATGATGAAATTCAGTAACCAATTTTCAACCTGATATGAAATTTCGAAGGTATGAGTATAGATGACAAGTGGCTTAGGAACAAAATTGCACAAGACTAGAAAATAGCTGAGAAATATGTAAAGCAGTTTTTAACTAATTGGAGTGTGGAACCGATGAGCATGGAAACAAATTGAAATAGTAGTTTTATAACTGAAGATGAGAAACAACAACGGAAACTAAGAAATCAGATCGAACTAGATCCATGATAAATATAGAGATTGAACTATTTTCTTTTGAATACAGCTCCGGTTGTTCGGTGAATATAAGGAGGGATTCTGCAGCAAAAAGAATTCGGTAATACACTGTCTTTGATAGATTCTCGATTACTTTGTAAGTGACTTTGATTGATGAGTCATTTGAGATGCTGTGTGACAGGCGCTTCTGACTGAACCTATGTCTCCTCTGTGCAGCCATGCTGGGTAATTTTCTGTAACACGTTTTGAAAAGACGCGCATAGAATGGCCTGAGTTCCTAGTTCTGCAGGAACAAATGAACTGAAATATGCAAATTGGGGTGATCGTCTGTGGAAGTTTGTCCTTCATATTGCTTAGAAACATTGGGTGGCTAGATAATATCACTCTTAGAGTTGCTGCAGGAAAGGTCTTCTTTAGGAAACCAGAGATATTTCTCTTTAGAATAGCTGCCACTGGGTATCCCTCTAAAGTCCAGATTCAAATACAGTGTTTCCTTTGGTACTGAAGTGTATTTCTCTCTTTTTCGCTTTGGTTTCATATTCTTCACCATGAAACATGCCGGGTATCCATTTTGAGTCAGGATATTTTTGAGAAATAAGGGCTCTTCGTCTGAGCAGTCAGTACTGCAAATTCTCGTGATGCGATGAGCCAGTGAGATGAGAAGAACTTGTTTAACTTTTAAATGACTGTGAACGATGAGTCATATAACATATAACGCAGCTATTTTCTAATTCTGTGCAATTTTGTTTCTAAGCCACTTGTAATCTATACTCACACCTTCGAAATTTCCTATCAAGTTGGAAATTATTATCACCTTTTGAGGATGAATTCGTCGAAAAGATGAATTTTTGCTGAACTGCTGGTGCGCTTTCCTTTCTAATCTCCTGATAGGTGCTTTCCACGGTATTACAAATGTCTACCAGAAACACAAGTTGATTTATCTCAGTGTTCAGCATATTCTTTCTGTTTCCTCAATAATTTTTTTTTAAAGAAGCACCAGGAAGCGATAGGAAGTAATAGTTTAGCCGCATTTGGACATGTAG